CTAAAAAATCAGTAATTTAAAATTATTTATTTAATAAATGACCTACTTTCATGGCTGGTTTGCTAGAATGATTTCTTCTTCTACTTATAAAGCCTTTAAAATTCATTTCAACATCAAAAATTTTAACTCTTTCAATAATTCTTCTCCTTTTATATCTTTTGTGTATCAAATTTACAATTTCCTATTCCACAAATAACATTGTACAATTTATTTATAAAGATCATCTTGAATGTGGCTCACATAAGTGCCACTACAAATGGTTTAAAAAGGAAAAATATATAAATTTAAAAGAAAATGTTCAACCCTTAAAATCAGTGAATTGAATAATACATAACAGTGTCCCATATCTCTAAACAGATCTGCAAAGACATCTACAGAAAAAAAAATTCAACGAAAATATTATTGATTTGCGAATCATTGAATCGTCCATTGATGAAATGTAATCTGATTTTTATTGAAAAATAAGAATAAATGAATGTTTCAAGTTGAATGCAAGAAAGTTTCTGAGAAAAGTTGCAACTTTGAAATTGAATTTCCATTTATTCAGGATGACTTAAATGATGAAAAAGTAGCTGTAAGTTGTATAAAGTTCTTATCTTTCAAGGAAATCTGCGAACTGCAGTTAGTAAATTTACATGATTTCTTCCTTTTCTATGAGTTTTAATGCTTAAGGATAGTTTTAAACCCTAGCGAGACTAACTAGCAAATTGCTAGTCTTTCTATTTTACTACTTGCAATTTACTAGTTATTATTAAAACAACTTACTATTAGTAAATTACACTTACTATTTAATAGCAAATTACTAGCAAATTACCATGAGAAATGTTTGATCACATCTTCTTAAGTTCGAATCCTACAAAAAATCATCAAAAAAAGAAATTTTTGCATCATAAAAAATTTTGTTCTAAATTTGGCATTTGCCATATACTTCACAAGAGCGCGCAGAAATCACCTTTATAAGCTCGATCCAAATTTGTATGAGACATTCAATTTAATTATTTATCTTCCTCAGGTTTGCGTGCGAGTCATAAGCGTTCATCAGTGTTTGACTTAATTAAATTAAGTCTTTTATTTTTTTCATAGTATTAGTGTACTTTAATTAATTAAACTAAGTACACACTAATACTTTTACAATAATTTACACAAATAAAAAAATCAAAAAAACACGTGGAAATCAACGGTTATATTCATTTAAATTTTTTACAAATTTGCTAGTAAATTACTAGTTAAATTGTAAGCGAATTGACTAGTCAATTAGCAAGTGAAAATGCGGGTCTTTGGCGATGATTTGAACTTGGATTTTGACTAGTAAATAGCAAGTAGCAAATGGAAAGTTATCCAGTAAATTACTAGGAAATTACTAGTAAATTCCTGCTAGGGAAAGTTGAATTGTTCAAGGTTAGATTGATAGTTGACTTGAATATGCTAATTGAATCAAATTCAAAATTTGTTTTTAAGCTTTGAAGTCAGAATACAGTTAATACTGCATTAATAGTTCAAGTTTCAATGCTTTGTGCAATTTAATTGATTTAAAAAAAATTTCACATCCTTAAAAATGCGTCACTCCAGAACATATTTTTCCCTGTCATTTTTTAATCATCCAAACTCACTTATTCGCTCAACAAAAAGAAAACTTTCACAAGAATGGGATAAAAAAGAAATTAAAATGAAATTTTCCAGTCAAATGCAATTTAATCTATCTGCTAAGCAACAGCAGCGTGTCTTTTAATGTGCTTTTTGATACTTTAAGTACATATACCCCAAGTCAGAACTTCAATTTTTCTTCGTTTTTTAATAAATAGTATTTTAATTTCTTTTTATTCAGACAGATGGTGGACGGATGAAAAGTTTTTTAGTATTAAGCGGCGGGGATGAATGGAACAAAAAAAGAAGAAGAAAGTATGCGATGAAAAGACGATGAGACAGGTGATGTAGGTGTACGGTAGATGATAGAAAAGTTTTGAATGAATAGGTAATTCTTGCTACAAAGCACATTGTTATACACTTTTTCATGCCATGATGAGATTCGAAAAAAAAATCTCGTAGCAATACAGCATGCTGTACTATTCATCATTCCCGACTTAATATCAGTGATTTCTATTCTTCAATGATTACATTATGCATACAAAGGAATTGAAGACGAAGACAATAAGTTGGGAATTTTTAAGGGGTGGGGGTTTGTGACGCAGTCGAGGTTTTTGAAGCATTAAACTTTTAATAATACAGAACTAATTGTAATCGTCTAAAACAATTGATTTAATCAGTTTATCAATTAAACGAGTCTTTAAAAAAGCCCGATTTGCCTCCATATCGATCTCAGCTATTCACCAGTCTCTTCGTATAGCAAATGCAACTTGTCAACCATTCATCCACAAATCCAGCCAAATAATAAACTTTTCTAAATCACTTCACCTCCTAGTCATGCTAAAAATTGAAATATTCGAACAAAGTGGAATTTATTATATCAAAATCTCGTCTACATCCCATATCTCATCTCTCAGAATTTAATCACTGCTGCAAAACAAAAAAAAAGCTTTATTCTCTTCCTCGTGTTCCTTTCCCCTCTTTATAGCTTTAGGATGTACCAAACATTGTGACAGTCTTCAACAAAACATTTTTATCATCGTTATTGATTTTATTTTTTTTTTTCATGAATCACAAAATGAATTGCAAAGAAGGAGGAAGAAAATATGGAAATCGAGTCGAGAAATTCATCATGATCTGAGGCTGTGTATGAGTATAAGCTTGTGGGTGTGTGTGTCTTAAAGGGCAAAAATTTGAATTTATTTTTGGTTATAGATGAAATTGCAATCGGATTATTATTATTATAATGTCAGATGTCTATCATATGTTATGTCAATATCGTCTTGAAATGTCTGACTTGACAAATGATTTTGTGAATGAATGTTCGTTTAAGATGAATTAGGAATTGAATATGATTTTTTGTGATTTTTAACTAGGTTCACAATCTTAATTCTTTTCCTCACGATTCTCCATCTTCATTAAATAATTCAAGTATTGAAATTGATACTTTACCTCCTCATTCACAATTCATTTACCTAAAATGTTATCGCTTCTCATTCACATTTATTTCTTTTTCTCAAAAATTCATACACATTTAATATAATATTGCCTCAAAAAATTATAAACATTTGTTCCTATATAGAAATGTCCTGAAATGGAACCATTTTACTCCTTTTTCTTCACATTGAAATCATTTCCGTCACACAATGTTCTCGTCACACAGTAAAAATTTTTATATTCTTCCTTTTTCTTTAATATTTTTCGCTCTCATTCCTCGTGAATATAAAAATGCTTCATGCTCCTTTTCATTTCATAATAGAATGTTCATTGATAGCTTTAGACTATAGAGTTTGAATGTATACAAAAACATGTGTGAGTATGATGGAAAATGTCACATAAGCATGCGAGTAGGTTGAAAAATATATAATGAGGCTAATAAGACGCTTTCTTGGCTTTTTGATCTTATTTAAATTGGATTTATTTTTCGAAATAATGATTTTTGAGGGTTAGCAACTTCAAAATTACCTTTATAGATTTTTAGAGTCAATATTCAACCAAAATGTCTTTCCATTTACTCAAAAGTCTAAACTCAATTAAAACTAGCCATAGTCTCAGTGTTAGTCTTAGCAAACATGTTCCAAATGATGTCCAAAACTCTTTATAAAATCCACAACCACAAAACGTTTCACTTGATTCTAAAAAAATTCTCTAAAAACCTGTCAAAAATGGTTTTTTCAGTCCGACAAAGGATAACCACTTGATTACTTTCATCTGTTGATTTTCTACAGCAAAGTGCTCAGCACTGCAACTAGATTGAATGAACATGAACATGAATACCGTAGACAAAGCTACATACACAATGAACAGAAAGCATATGTTGCGAAAAATTGATATGAATAGCAAAGCATAATGTTGTGTATTCATATATGAAAGCATCTCAGGCATTCCTTTAAGTGCCAATAATTGTATGAATAATGAAGCAGTAGTTCTATTATGTGGAAAACTATTTAAATGCGCATTTCTGTTGACAATGTTTAATGAAATTGAAATTATATTGTTGAATTATTCTCAATTTCAATATAGAATTCCTTCATCATATGAAATTCGAATTTTATTCAATCTCATATATCGTATTCATCTACATTCATACATTATTACTATTACTATGTGCTTATTTTTTTTTTTAAAAAAATTTCATTTATTTATCTTTGTGATCAAATAAATTTAATGTTTATACAGAACTTAATGGGAGCTATTTTGCATAAAATATATAAATATCTATTCGAAACGATAGGATGGAGAATTTCCTAACAAAAACCGCACATCTCAGATCCCATCCGACATCCTGTTTCGACAAAAGTTTTTCATCCTGCGGAATTCTTTCATTACTTAATGCGTATATCTGTAGATGTGATGGAAAGGGTTGTGTCTTGAGAGTTGAATGATTTGGAATTTTGTTTAACGAACTTTTTGAATTTGAAATTTTGAAGCTTTGAGAGATTTCGTGAAAGTTTTAACGATTGAAATTGACGATTGTGGCGACATCTTTGAGACGTTTATTGAAACTTGAATGATTCTTTGAAAATTTAATTTAACTGAATTTGTGGAAGAACATTTGAATCTTTTTAAAAGCCCAGCTGGAACTTCAAAGTCTTAAAACACTGCAAATTCATCAATTTAATGATCTAAATTCAAATCAAAACAATTAAAGCTGACATTTTAATATGAGTTCTGTTCTTACACAGCATTGAGTTTGCAATAATTGAATATTGACTAAACATCCTAAAATCTGTCTGAAACTCAATTTATAATTAACCTGTTTTGAATTAACTTGTTTAGCAAAATTTACTTTATTTTCTGATTTCAAAAATAATGAATTTAATTCAATTATATTTTTCTAAGATGTGTTGTGACAATATAACGTTCAATAATTTATTTACGCTGCAAAAAATATTAAAAGAAAAACTGACAACACAAAGAAATTCTAGCAACTTTCTCACATTTCATTATCAATAATAAATCTCACATTTCCATACTTTTATTTCTATTAAATATTAATAAATTGAGTAATTTTCTAATTTTTCATCTCTATTAAGTTTATCATCATAATTATGACAGTCATAAGCTTAATAAACAATAAACAATCTTTAATTACACTCGCTCCTTCCTTCTTCGAGTTATTTTCACTGAATGATTGCCAATCAAATTCAGTGTTATGCCTGCCTTAACTCTCATCTCTTCATATTTCAATGACGTTGAGAAATGGAAATTCTTAACGTAATGGAGAACAATTAATTTCATGAATATCATCGCATATCGATTTCCTGCAGAAAATTGTACCGTAAAGTGTTTTTCGCATAATTAATTAATTGATACTTTTGTGCAGGATTGAATTTTCTTGGTGTGAGGTGGGATCCTAGCATCAAATTTGTGTGACTTTGATATTTGGAAAATTTTACGACTCAAAAAATTTCTTAAATTTCAAACTTAACACACAAAATCTTCAGAATCAACACATTGACCTCAAAAAATTCAACCACAACATACAATTAACTCACCAACACACATCCGAATGCCACTAGAAAATGGCAGGAAAGTAAAAGGACTTCTGTCATACGAACTCTCAAAATCGAAACGTTCTGGCTTAAAGAGGTGAGCATCATCACCCCAAATTTCCTTTTTACGATGCAATCCATAAATGTTTATCACTAAATTAGTTCCCTTCGGCAGTTGAATGTTTTCGATACCTTTGTGTATACGTATCATAAGGTATGAAAACAGAAGGTAACGACATAAAAGAAAAAGAGAGAGAAGATGAGAAAATGTAGGTAATTAAGACACAATTATTAGACACTTAAGTGCAGGAGTAAATAAATGTGGATAATAGATATTTATACACGAAAAAATGTGCTATGGGGTGGATGACGACAAGTAGTGAATATTTTATGAGGGAGATGTGCTGGTTTTGGAGGGAGATATTTTGGATATTTGAGGTGTTTTGAGTAAATTTTTTGAAGAATCGTCCTTAAATGACGTTGTTCACCACTCTAAAATTTCCTGCTATGCTCCTTTCTAAGAATAGTGGTATGGTTCTGTGTCATGCTTCCTGGACGACATAATAAAATCCTTAATGCCAGTAGAACTTATATATTCATATAAAATCCTAAAAATTCTCCATCCTTAATAAATTCAAGGTAATTTTCAAATAATCCTTAACAATTCTTCAAACCAGCCCTTTTCCTAACCATAGACAATTTTCTATAAGAAGAAAGAAAGCAAAGAAAGACATAAAAAACTTTTTTTCACACCATACCTAAATCAACATCAGCCTTCGTTTCACGGAAAAGGCCTGTTAGGAAGAGAAAGGAAAGAATATTACATCACACTATAAAATCGTACAAATGAAAGTGCTTTTTTCCTACCACCACTCAACACTTACCTGTTGCCGGAGTGAATAGTCTTAATGCCTCCTTTATAGTCATTTCTACATACTTTAGTGCTGATAGCTTTTCATAGTCTATGATAAGATCTTCCTTCATGCATTCATCGCCTAAAACCTCATTGATTTCCTTTATTATACATTCTTGCACGTTCTCGTGCATGGCGAGCATTAAGACGATAAAATTTAGTGCTGTACTCATCGTGTCTGCAGCCTGTGTGTTGAAAGTTATTAAAAGTATAATTAGGGTCTTTTAGCGGAATGAAGAAGGGGATGGCATGGCTGTTTTCTTAATCTGTAATGGATTCTAATGGTTATGTAGCTTTTTTGGTAGACGTAAAGGTGTGCTTTTGATTTTAATAGGGAATCGTTAGTTTACAGTTGTAAAGATATGGCTTAACTGTCATAACTTGGTCATAACACAAATATGAAGTCTAAGAATAGGCGTCAAATGTCAATCTAAGTGGCAATGATTGAATCAAGAGTCAAAATTAACTTATTCGTAACTCTAAGGTTCGATTCCCAACTAATCTGACTTGTTGTGATAATAGTTTCAATTAAATATACTCACAGCAACCATCATCGTTCCACAATGATCTAAAATATCCTCAATCTCATAGTTGCGTCCATTTTTCGAAACCTTCAACAACTGTCCAATAAAAGAATTTTCTACATCAGCTGCATTGCAGTTCCCACTCTGTATTTGATCCCATTCATTTGTAATGAAATCAAAGAAAAATTTACGATTTTTGTCTTGATCACGTTTCATACTTGAGAGATTGTAGATTATATCGTAGTGATAATGAGGCTTCATTGCTCTATTCCATATGTTGTCCAAGTATCTGTCGAGTGGAGTGGCAAAAGTGAAACTTTCAGCATTAATTTTTATGAAGTATTAAGTAAAAAGTTTTGCAGAAGTAATGATTTTTAGTTGGATATGAATTTTTTTACGATTAAGTAAGATCCTTGAGATGTGAAATTTATGGATGTTGTGAATATTAGAATTACCAAACAAGAAGCATATACCTTAGACATTTTACAACACATATCAATTTGATAACTCTATAAACTCATAAATTACTCAACTTTTTGGGTAATTAAGTAAGATTTATAATGTAAGTCTCTTAATGATCCATAAAGATTAATCGATTTATATTGAAAATTTATGATAAAATTTTTTATAACCAAATAAATTTTCATCCTTACTAATCTTGATAGACAATCAATGTTCAGTACGTTTATCTCCAATAAGTAAATTGATTCCTGTTCTTATCGGTAGTATTATGAATAATTGATTAATCTAGATAAGGTGTTTTGACAGGCAATGTATGACAATATGGATTTAGTGAGAGAGTTCATTAACATGGCCGAGATTTTGTGATGAATTATTAATGCTAAGGAGGTTTGGCTAGAATTTGTTATTTTTATTTATCATTTTTAAAGATTTTAATTTTCAAAAATAATAAAGATCCAATAAAAAGAAACATCAATCAACGTCCGTAATTTTTGTACGTCCCCAAGCTTAATACATCGTCTCTTAATTCCCATAAACTCAAAACTAAACATAGAAGTTTTTAATCCTTTCTATCAGACACCTGACAAGTGTTTCATTCACATCATCATGTCCCCAATTTGAAAACAAACTAAGCAAAAGCAGCATGAAGCTTCATGCACTTCATAGATAAAATATTTCACCCAAAAAACCCGAATGCATCCAATAAATTATTCTTATGAATGAAAAATATGAAAAGGAAAAGATGCAGAATTAACTCAACAGCATTCACTGTTCGTTTACAATCATCAACCACCAACTAATCCAAATATGTCATACATACTTCTCGGTGTTTTCCATAAATATTTTTGCGACATCTCGAGATATGTCCTTTCCAAAAGTTGTGTCTGTTAAATGAGATATAAATGCCATGTTTATTTATGAGCGTGGGTAAAGTAGAGATTCAACTAAGAAATCATAGCCAGGATTGTGATCTTGGTGGAATTTGTCAGTAATTGGTTTTGTTTAGAGCATGGGTTGGTGGTAGACAAATTAGGGTATATCCTTAAAAATCTCCCGAATGGCACAAGTCCACTAATCGAAAAAAAATCTGGAACTAAGCTGGCATGACTCTAGCAAGGTGCTGGCTTTGATTTAAATCCAGAGTAGCGCCGGCTTGGTACCGAATTACTTTTCGACTTGTGCTATTCGGGTCTTATTACCATCTAGGTTGACTTATCAAAAGGATGATGAGATACTGACTTTAAACTATTTATAAATCTCAAATCTGATCAACTCCTAATAAAATTCAACAACAAAGAACCCAAGTCTGTGCACTTAAATCTATCTCTACGAGAATACATTCTTACTCATAACAGCATTCATAACAACAACTGTAACGTCATGCTTTATGTCAAATTCTTCCTTATCGCAATTTGCCTTCAAGTGTTCTATACTCTTCGCAATACATTTCGTAAAGATTGGCACATAACTTTGTAGTACGGGCAAAGAAAAGGAAGAATTGAGAAGTTTCCTTTCATACTTCCATCTGTCAGCTAACATAGCACGAAAATATAAAAAGAAAAAAAAACATAATTTTTTTTTTTATCAAATTCAATTTTTGCTTTGTCAGGTCTTTTTTCGTTCAGCATTTCCGTATTTTCTTACTTTCTTGATGGAGTAAGCAAAACGGGAATGATGCTGATGGTCAGTGGACACGAAAGATGAAAGGAATGAAGTTGGAATTATTTTGTCAATGCTGTCATTTTTTCCGAAGACTCTTTTTGTGTCAGAAAAATTAATAAGTTAATTTGGTTATAATGCAGAATTTACGTGATGTTGGAGCACTTATCACTGCCTTAATTCTTGAAACTCAGCAATTTTTGAACAATTTGCTTTTCATCACTTACTAATCTTCCATCCCAAACTCAATTTTAAGTCTATTTTTGTCACAACATCAAATTTATCACCATACAAACCAGACTGATTTAATCACAAAAGAGCTTTTCATTTCCTCATCATTTTCGGAGATGTCCATTGACACATATGTGTCCCATACATACATTTCATAGCAATTAAGCCTCTTGGGAAGCCGAAAAAGTCCATAAAGAAATTTTTTTCCACACAATTTGGTATGGTCAAAAGTTTTTGTGAGACATGCGGATCGTCAGTAACAAAGAGGTATTTTGTGCCGAACCATACTGAATAATACCTTGGGTATCGTTTTGATAGATTTTGGAGAACTTCAAAGCGATCTATGGAATTAAGGAAATGTTTTGTGTTTATTTTTATGGAACTGGTGTGAAGTTTGGGTGAGTATTCAGCTGGCATGTGTTAATTTATATCAAAATGTACTCAAATTGATCTAGTAAGAGTTCATTCACACTTGGTGGCTTTCATTAATTTTTACTATAACATAAATACTCTTATAAAGTCTTAGATTCCCTTACTAACTCGACATGATGACCATAGTAAGTGGGTGACCACAAAATTCATAAAAGCTTAAATCACATTCCAACTAACTTCATACCAGTGCCATTAAGTGCGTGTTTTTGTGTATAAAAATGTGAAGACATAAATCACAATATCATCGCTTGATTAACACTCAAGGGACTTCAAACTCGATACAAAATTAAAGCAGAAGATAAGTAATGATAAAAAATTCATAAACCTCACCGGCATTAGATCTTGCCGTAAAAATATAAGCAATGATAGTGAGTGGAAGAGTCTTTGGACCTCGTATATTCCAAAATTGTCTACGATATCTCATATAATCACGTACAGCATCACTGATGTACATAAATAAAAGTATAAATGCAATGCACATTAATAAATCTGTTTCGTACATCTTAATTTATATTTTTTTTGTCTGCACTTTACAACAATAACTTAAAATAAAATGAAATTCGATTAATATTTTTTTGTTGTGGTTCTTATCGAACGACTACTTTTCTGATCGTATGCCGCAATGTAACTGAATAAAGTTTCCAATTTATCGACTGAAAAAATGAATGAATAGAGGATGGAACTCACATATACAATTAATTGTTATCTTGCAGGGATGGGGACTCAACTGCTTGCAGGTTGATGACTTATAGCTCTTCTAGCTACAACATGGAATTTTGTGGAAACAATCAGATTTCACTAAGAACTAAATTCTGTTTAAGTTTAAAAATTTTAAATAAAGAGACTAAAATCTTATTTGATCCCTAATCAGCCACATAATGTGTAATACTAGCTCACAACCATCAACTTAGTTGCCATTAAAATATTTCATCCATAAAGCTTCTAACCCTTTCACATTAAAAATATAATTACACTCAAACAAGTTCATTCACAACTGCTTTTAATGTCTATGTTTGCAAAATTCACATGTGTTTCCAAGAAAAATAAAAAATTGATAATAATTTCATATATGTGTGCAAATGTCTGAGATGATGATTAATGGAATTAAGATAGTACCTCACACGCGTGATATGCTTTCGAAATGAAAGGCTTTGATAATGAAAATTTATTTTTAAGACTTTGTCGAGAGGAGTTTTGCAAAGAAGCCGCTATCGTCATATTCATTGACTTTGGAGTTTTACCTTTGTCAAGTGATGCGTGGATATCTAGCGTGAGAAACTTGTGGCTTTTGTATAATCAGCGAAATCTATTTACAGACTGGAAGGATTTTTTTTTATTTTGATTTTTGTAGAGTCATTTAAATGACTTGCATGAACAACTGCATTTATTTGACTTGTTGAAAAGTTGTAGCAGCTGACTGCGGTTCTGACCCCAACTCTGCTAGGTTAGACGCAATTAAAAAAGCAAACATTAAGCTCCTTAAATAATTAGCTTTTAATAGCTTTGAACTAGTCCAAAAAAATTGAAAAACTGCTTAAAAAATCCATTAAAACCTACAAATTATAAAAATTTCTTTGAATAACTGCCAACTTTTAATGTTAAGAGCAGTTTATAGCTTATTAGCAATCATAATGATGTCATTAACTGCAATCAGAACTTTCAAAACTTTTTCAAAACTTAGCTTTGCCGAGAACATAAATTAAAAGATTTCCCATCAAGAAAGTTTTTAACGTGTTTAATGAACTAATTTAAAAAATATTTTATGCTGCAAGTTATGAAAAAGTTTCTCTTATAATTTTTTTAAATTTTTCTGTAGTGCATGCAACAAGAATGCCACAAAAATGCATAAATCTATGTTTATACATAAACTAATGCATTTGTCAGAACTTTAACCTTTTTTTTCACTACCGTGCAAATCTAAGTAGAATATCTAATGCTTCTGTTCCTTTTTTCCTTTTTTTTTATTTAAAGTAGAGGGATTGAAAAACTGATACTTCTGGAAGCAACAAGCTAATCAATTTTTTATAGCAATTTTCCAATAAAAGGGGTGAATTTTTTGCTTTTAATAAAAGACTTGCTTTGCTGTTGTTGAGGTTTTATGATTTTTAATATGTTTTATTAGTTTATACAGGGTAGGGTGTACTGCATTGAATATTTTGATTTGAAAGGCATGATAACGACGTAGCTAATCAAAATAAACATCCATTTGTGCTATTTTGAAAGGTTTTAACTTTTTAAGAGTACAATCATCTTGGTTTTTTCGCTCTAGCTTTATCTGTCAATGGTGGGTAACCTTTTTGTGCCATGGCATACCGTGGTGGTAAGCCATGACCGAAAACGCACACGGAAAATGGTTCTTGAATTTTTTTGCGCCACATGGGTTGGCCAACACTGCTCTAAGGTATGAATAGTATCAATATTGATTATAAATCAATGAGATTACAGCCTCTTAAAATAGACCATAGCCAGAAATGTCGTTAAAAATTGTTGGATTGTAAAATCCCAACTTTCAAGCTCTTCAAGGCTTCTCATTTGCAATAGAAACAAGAGAAAGTTCATTCATTTACTGATTTATTTTCTCTGATTGACATTCGCATTCGTTCTTAAACGTATTTGTTAAATGAAGTATATTATTAAGATGCAATAATTTATTTTAAGTTTTGGGAATTAAGAAAAAAAGGAGAAGCGAGCGAAAAGAAAAAGAACATAAACGAGAATGACATGAGTGATAGCAGATGTAGTGACCTGCAATTCTTTTGGCTTAATTTGTATGAATTTATTGAACTTGTGGAGTTTTCAAAATTCAATGTTGCATTGACCCAGTTTTGACAGAAAAATAAAATTTGCCACATTTAATATTTTCCAAATATTTTCAATTAAATCACTTTAAGCTCATCCATTTCATTATTCATCTCCATAAAAACTTCTAGATTCTCAACAAGAGAAAAAATATTTTCATGTCTCCAATTATTTAAATGCCCCGAAAGAGACGCAAATTGAACAAAAAAAATATTGTAATGAAAACCAAACTTGGAAATTAAAAGTAAAAAAGAATTGTAAAAGAAAACTTTTTCTGTTGCTTTTTTTTCGAGAATGAGAAAGAAGTTTACATTGCATCAAAAATCAATTAAATCATAATTTCCTCTTTATCTTCGGAATTCTTCTTCCCAACCAATTGTTATATTTAAAAGTTTATCAAAACTTTATCTTCATATTGAAACGATAGCAAAGGATGTGAAGAAGTTGGGCAGTGTTATTGGAGCTTGTGGATTAGTCTGCGCATTTATTAAGTTCAATATGATTGATTAGGGTTATTTGAGTCTAGTAGACTAGATAGTTGGAATGTTGTCACAGATAAGGTTTTAGATGCCTATTAGCACTAGATTTAGATATTAAATTAGTTATCTAGAAAACCAATCATGTTTAGATCTCCCTATAACTGCCATGTGTGTATACTAATGTATAACATGTCGGGTTCAATGGAAATCGAACGCACGACCTCAAAAGAGTCGATCTCTGAGCACTCGATCAGAGATCCCTGCCACTCGGTCAGCATGGGACTTGTCTTATTTCGGCTATCCGTCATACACACATAACTAGTTTCAACGCGAGCCCTTTGCTCAGGCTTATCTACTACAGATATGCTCTTCGAGCTAATCCACACCATGCACAGCCTTGGATCTTTGGAAAACAAGAGATTATTCATAGCTTTAAAATTCAGCTTCAAGTTCTGTTTGAAAAAATGTGAGTTTTCTTACTAAACCCTTTGACAATTCAACTATAATCCTCCCATTTTCCATTCGAATTGCACCCATAAATAGAATAATAATGAAAATTTTTCCTCTTATTTAATTTCTCTTCTCTTCTATTATGCTTCAAGTCATAGAGCATGCAAACACTGCACGCTGTAATGTGAAGAAAAAGTTTATTTTCCATGTTTTACCTAAATTTTTACAACAAAATGTTTATTTCTCCAATTTTTTTTTAATTTTGCATGCAATATGCACCATAAGAATGAAAACTTTTATTTGTGTGCAAAAAATTGCAATTTTCTTCACTGAAATTGGATTTTTATTTTTTTGGGGGATGCAGGGGATTTCATGACTGACTGGAAATTATTTTTTGATAATATGATTAATTGAATTAGATTGCAGTTTTGTGTGTATTTTGAACAGATACACAAAATTAATGCAGGCATTGCAAGACAAAACGAGAAAATTCCAGAAAAATCGCGCATCCGTCAGTAAAAATTTCCATTTTTTCGGCTTCACTCAAGAATAAATGAATAATTCAAAATAGAGAAGCTCAATCCATAAAAATTTATCAGAGCAGCAGCAGAAGCAGCAAAAAAAAAATCTAAGAAAAGCACAGAAACAAGTAACAATGAAATGATAAATGAACTTTTGTGCATAAATTTCATTTTATTTTCACACAAGAAAAGCATGTAACAGAATTACATTTGCATATATTGGAAAGAAATGACTCATATGGGGATAAATGTTGTGCTTCTTTCCATTCTTTGTTTTGTGATGCAAATGAAAGAGAAAATCTTTTAAAATTGAATTTAGTTGTAATTGTTATGGAGAAATGCATTCATATATTATTGTACATTTTCCACGAGACATAAAATAACATTAGGATGAATGGCTTCAACTAGAAGTAGTAACAACATGAGATGCATGCTAGGGAGATAAAAAAAAATTTGCTTCACATTTTTTTCTACATATAAATGCATTAATCTTTCGAGATTACTCCCATAACAGTTATTTTTATGCTTTTTAAACTGTTTTTTGTGGAAAAGATGTGGTATGTGATGATTCCTTAGTCTTTTAGGGAACAGGTGATTCTTTTGAGATCAAGATTGCAAAATTAAGCTTTCTGTGGGTTAAAATTAGTTAATGTCAAAGAATCTGAAGCTGGAAGCAACTCAGATAGCAACAACTTGCATAATGATTAAAATTTATTTCCATTTAATTAAATTTCAACCCCCTTAAATTAAAAATTAAGAACTAAGAACCCACAAAATGCGCTTAACACCCCAATATCTGTTTAATCTTCAATTCCCTGGAGCTCCTTTGATTTTGATACTCTTTCACATTGCACATGATCATTTAGATTCATATTACTAGTGAGAAGTGGAAGAGCAGCATAGAATAGAACCAGAAAGCAAACTTGAATGACAGAATAAATGAAATAATTCTCATTTAGCTCAAAAACTACACGTCATTTGTTTCACTTTAATTTCTTCCGCTCGTCTCCAGCTAGAATGAAAGAATTCCAGCTCCACATGCATGTTATAGATGAATTTATGAACTTATGTGATTTTAGCATAGCACATAACATATTTATGTTGCATTTGTGAGTTTGAAATTGTACTTCTGTGATCTACCAACATGTACATGCATTCCGGATAGAAGTGAATTGAAAAAATTCACAACTGAAATAAAATGATTGAAAAATTAAAATTTATGCTGCAAATTTTATTATTTTATTTAAACGAGAAGACATCCTTGGGGGTATTTTGTGGGAATTTTTAAACAAGGCTTTTAAATGCTCAAAGATTAATTTTTTAATATTATGAAAATTCAAAAAAATTGCCAAAATCTGACAAAAACCTCCCTAATGACAAATAATTTAAAATTCAAAATTCTCAGAGAAATAAAATGTTCAACTTCAATATTGAAGTGTTTATTTCATATCCTTATTATGCGCATACTAAACATTTGAGGTTATAAATTATAGTTCTGTATGCTGTTGCATTCAAATTGCAGTTTAGCATAGTTATTCAGCTGATGATAGTTTTTTAGTAGTTATTTAAATGCAGATGAATACTTTTTCAACAAGAATTGTTGAAGAGATAAAATATGAATGCTTTCAATGATTAATTTTTGAATATAAATTTAGGTTCCATTTCGTGTTTGAAATGAGATTTGAATTTTGATTGTTGATTTTGGGGAACTTAGGATTGGTTGGGATTTTTTATAGTTCTAATGCTCGGCTATAGAATCTTGATTCTTTCTTTGGCAGATTCAACTTCATAGACTTTAATGCTCTAAATTCCACTCCAATCAGACATCACTCACAGCATGCAAGTTTTACTATTTGATACGAAAACATCTAGAGATAATTAAAATAATATTTGTGACATTTGAAAACATTAAAGTGCATAATTTCCAATTATCTAAGGCTTCAGAAAATTCGATAAATTGTATATATTGATAATAATTAAGTTAATGAATCTTTAGGGATTTTGTATATTGAGTCATAACATATTTAACAATAGCATAATAATTATAGTCATTTCACTATTTTAAAGGCTTTCTGATGATACAATAATATTTCTTTGATTTAAAATCTACTACAACATGCTGTAAAATCTTTAAAAAATAGAGAAATCAATTTTATTATGAAATATGAATCATATTTAAAGAATTTAAAAATAACTTAACAATTTCAACTTGATAACATCATGTTCCCATAGCAGCAATAACAATAATAGTAAATCGATAAAATATCAAATTACAAACTTCATCTACTGACTATCATAATTGTTCAATTTAAACTTTTTCTATCTCAACGAGAATAACCTTAAACATGTTGAAAAATCAATTGACCATCTCTCGAGTATCATGAGGAGCACGTGTTAAATTACACGACAAAGTAGAAAATGTATTGTTATCAAATTAATAAGATGTTTAATATTGTTAAAGAAAATATTGAAAAACGACAAGCTTTTGGACAGTTTTGGATAGAACAGGGGTCAGGATATCACTTTTAAATGATTTACAGCCTCAATTTTAATTTTATGAAATCAAAAATGTCCACTTTAATGCGAAAATAATTTGACACTTGACACTCCCTTGCATGAATAAATCCACTCTGTCAAAAGTACTTGACAGTGTCATTAGCACATTATTTCATTATTTTTCCCCTATAGTTGCGATGTACATTAAGGAATAATTTAAATGAAGAATTGAATTGATTTAAAATGCAAATAAAAAATTGTTACAGATGCGACAAAGTTTTGCATGAAACATGCCTAAAAAACTGATTAACATCTTGGTAAATGAGAAAATCTTAATTAAAGCAAGGTTTTTAAATGCTGACGCTGAATTTTTCGGAATTCAACACAAGAACTCCAAATATTCCCTAAGTTTACAAAAATATATCGCAACTTATGTTTAAATCAATTCCTCATGTGCTATTCCATCTTATGGCATCAAAATATTTTGTAAAAACTCAGAAAACATAATTAAAATTAACAAAATATTTTTTAACGGTTTTAGTGTTGATAAACAATTCGAAATTTTAATATGCTACTGGATCTCTTTTGTGCAAAAATTGATAAGAAAAGAATTTGAGCGGAAAAATCTGTGAACTACTATTCTATTAAACTTTCGATTAAACCAATTAATTCCTTTTAATGACTTCACATTTTGTAATATATTACATAATCAGCATAAGTTTAATTAAGGAAATTATGAGGACCCTATTTATCAATTATCTTTTCGGCAAATATTTTTTATGACATTTTTGAAAGTGAATTTTTTATCATTATATCCATTATATTAATAATACTACTCATATTTGTATTTGATTTCTTCAACTTCAATTTACTTAATGCTTTCTACGCAAAAATTAACTTTAAATTATCTGTTATTAATACGGGAATCTCTTTAATAAGCTAAAGGATTTTCTTCTAGAGAAGATTCGATGTTTTTGAGCTAAAGTTCGAAAAATTTGAATTGGAAAAAGCCGTTATGACAAATGTATCACAGCATTTAGTTAAAAAATTACAAAAGACCTCGTGTTATTGATCGAGAGACTTCAGCGCATTTTTGACGCAGCGATCAATATTTGATTAGTAAGTTGAGGAAAATTAAATAGAAATATATATAATAACCAAATTTTTTGAATTACGTCCAAAATCATGCGTAGCTTAAAACGTAAGTTAATATACATAATTAACCAAAAATTCCATTGAATTTGTTTTTATAAAAATTTTCCACAATGGTTTTTTAAAAATTCAAATGTAAACGATTTTTCAAAATTTGAATTTATAGAGGCATTAAAAAAATTTGGACAGGTTACAATCTATGAAGAAAAATTTCGACAGGTTGCACTGTATTCAAAATAAAAAATGCTTAATTATAGTATTTACACATTGTTTCAAGACTTTTTACTGCCCGACCCCGAAATAATACGATGAAACTGAGCTGATAAACCAAACCCGAGCTCTCTACGATGCCTGGTTAAAAAGTTTTTCTAGGGACGAACGAACGAACAAAGTGCATTATTAAGCAACCTTTTCGAAAAAAGTTTCAAAATGCGCTAATAAGCACTGGATGTAAAATTGTAAACAAAACGTATGAAAAATTAAAACTAAGTTTATTAAAGCGTTTTAATTAAAGTGACACAATTATTAATCATTAAAAATATCAAAATTACCCAATGATATTGTCAAATTAAGTTTAAAAATTCTTAATCAGCAAGTAATAAGTGAAATATGCTAGTTCCTAAAAAAAATCGGCAAAAAGTGATTAAATCAACAAAAATCATGTAAAAATAGTAAAGCAAAATAATTATGATCACAGCAATAATACATGTCGTGATTAAGCTTATAGGAAAGTGTGACCAGAGAAATAGATAATCGTACTATAAAAATTAATTTAATAATTTTATAAACATAAGCAACGACAAAGTATAAGTATAATTTCTGCTTACGTTATCGCTTATCAACCGTCTGAATCATCAGTCTAAATTGAATAGTCAATCAAGTAAGTTCTGTACAGTTTAAACGGCAGTCTGAAAAATTTCCATTAATCAATTTGTCAATAACTCGCGTCTGTCTTATCATCCTTATCAGTTATCCATTAATAATATAATGTCACTAACAACATTAACAACTGGAGCGGCTGGCTTCATCGGAAGTCACACAGTTTTGGAGCTCTTTGAAGCTGGACATAATGTGATTTGTGTTGATAATTGCTGTAATGCCTATCATGATAAAAATGAATCCCTTCCTGAATCACTAAAACGTGTCGAGGATATAACTGGAAAGAAAGTCACATTCTATAGTGTCGATATAAGAGATAAGAAGGCATTGGATTCAGTTTTCAAGAAGGTACGTTAACTTTATTATCTTGGCAGCAAAAAAAATTAATAATTTAATTTAAATGGCTGCATTTGGGTCAGTTGGAGATTGTAGAATATGAGTTCCTGTGACGTGGAAACCGTTCTCGTTTAAAAAAAAATATAACACATAATAATGAAAATTAATTTACAAGGTCACACATGTTTTTCCAATAAATTTGAATGATTCACGATAAAGTGTGGCTAATAATATCAAATAAATGACTTTAAAGTATTTTTTAAAGCCTTACCAGTAGAGGATGAGCTTCAACAAATTGTCCAACTGGAGCGAGATAACGATAAGCTCCACTTGTGACGTAGACATTCTTAGTTCCATCAGCAATAACAGTCAATCGTCCTTGTTCAGTTCTTGCAATTCTATCTGCAATTAGATAATTTTAAGCATATTGTCTTTGTTTCGTTATGCTGTAATAATCCAACGTCAGCTGGTGCGGCTGATACAAGAGCAACAAGTCCCAAGATGATAACTGCTTTCATTTTTAATATTTGATTTATTTTTTTTTATGTAAAGCTGCTAATGTTTATGATAATTGACACAAAATGTTTTTCTTATCATTTCTTCTAATTTTTGTGGCGTATTTACAAAATTTTTGGAACTTCCCTTTCCCTAGTTCAAAAATATTTTGCGTATTTTAACCAATTGACACAAATATTTAACATCTTTTGGTAATTTTATTCAATTGGCATAAACGAGTTCAAGTTACCTTCCATAAGACTAGTAGGAATAAAAGACAATAGAATGATAATGTAAGCCATTCATTTGACACGAGTACATACTGTCTAAACAGTTGTTGTTTTTAATCTTGGACATATGTTTATTAAACAATTTTCTCGACGTATGAAACTTTTATTTACACATGTGAACATTAATTTAAGATAAGATTATTATCAAGGCGTGGAAACTCAGGTTTAATCCTGAAAAATCCAAAAAATCCTAAAAAATACTTGAGTCAATAAAGATGAAAATGTGAAATCTCTTAAATTTCAAAATTATTCATCAAATGCATCAGGGATTTAAAAGGGATTTCACATTTCCATGTTTATTGACTCAGAGATTTTTTAGGATTTTTCAGGATTAATCCTGAGTTTCCACGCCTTGTTATTATTATTTATTTTATACTTGAAAAAGCAATAAAAAAATCATAGAAAATTTAAAAAAAAATTATCGTATTTTTTTCAAATTTTTTAGAACCGCTACCTGCAAAATTAAGTTAATGGATTTTGAAAATTTGAAAATTATACGTAGAAAAAAAATTCCAAAAAATGAGGGTTCGATGTTTTGAAATTCGTTATTTTTATAGGCACTCAAAATAAATATGAACGGAAAAATAGTTCAACAGACCAAAATAATCTCTTTTTGACGATAATAATTGATAAGATAAGATTCTTCTGACGTCAGCTATTTTAGTTTAATAATTTCTCTCTTTCTTGTAGCACAAAATTGATTGTGTTATTCATTTTGCTGCATTAAAAGCTGTTGGTGAATCATGTCGCTTACCTTTGCAATATTATCAGAACAATATCACTGGAACTTCGGTTTTATTGGAAGTTATGGCTGATAATGAAGTCTATAACTTTGTCTATAGCAGTTCTGCTACTGTTTATGGCGACCCTACATTCTTGCCTTTAACTGAAGATCATCCAACTGGAAACTGCACAAACCCTTATGGCAAAAGTAAATATTTCACTGAGGAAATATTAAAGGATCTGTGTGCATCTGATAAGGTGAGCATTAAGTTTTGCAACGTGATAATGTTGTTTGTAAGCTTAACCTGCGTCATACTAGATTTCTGATGTCAGGGTTTAGTTAAATATTATTATTATTTGGTTTAAAAATTTTCCTTTAACTAAGGCCGTCGAGATTTATTTTTAATCCTTAGATTTTAAATATCTATCTAAATTCAATTCAATCGTATCCTATCCCCCAGAACTGGAATGTAATTTCCCTTCGCTACTTCAATCCCGTGGGAGCGCATAAATCAGGTAGAATTGGAGAAGATCCAAATGGTGAACCAAATAATTTGATGCCTTACATCTCGCAAGTTGCTGTTGGAAAGAGGCAATTATTGAAAGTTTTTGGCAATGACTGGCCTACACATGATGGAACTGGAGTTCGTGATTATATTCATATTGTAGACTTGGCTCAAGGACATTTATCAGCATTGAGTAAATTGCTAAAAGGTGGAACTACTGGATATGCTGTTTATAATTTAGGAACTGGAGTTGGATATTCCGTCCTTGATATGGTTAAGAATTTTTCTATTGCCTGTGGAAAAAATATTGCTTACGAATTTGCTCCTCGTCGTGAAGGCGATATTGCATCATGTTATGCAAGCACTGAGAAGGCAGCTGATGAGCTCGGTTGGAAATCAAAGCTTGGATTGAAGGAAATGTGCGAAGATACATGGCGTTGGCAGAAAAATAATCCAAATGGTTTTGCTGGTCTTAAATCTGATCTCTAGTCATTAACGACGATTTGAAATGTTACCAAAAAAAGAAAAGAATATATATATATATTTTATCCTTTCGTAAATTTGGCATATATAATTTTAAGCATGTATTGAACGACTTGTAATTTGAGGCATTTATGATATTTAATGTGGATTTATTTTGTGTGTGCCATTTATGTACGAGGCTATATAATAATAATAATAATAATAAAGGAAATGATACCAAAACTTTGATAATATCGACATCGAAGGTAAAAGTACGAAACTGTGCATTCTATTCATAATAAAGAAATTGACATATTCTCATCATGAAATTTTACATTTTATTTCATCCTTTAGATCAAATGATTATTTTTTTTTTGCTTATAAATTAGTGCACTAAGTAAGAATGATAACTTAACTAGAAACTTGAAGAAATCAAATGAAGAGAATGGACAGACAACAGAGTTTCGATTCGGTAAATTGATAAAAAAAAAGTCTGAAGTTGCGAAATTGTTGATGCCGGATGTACCAATTTTGTTGCAAATGAATTTATTTTATTAGCATAAATCATAAGCTCTCCCAAATGTCCATTTATTCTTAAAGTTTCTATTCTGTGTTATCAGATCTTTAATAAAATACTTTGTGTGGAGGGGCTGTTCACTTATGACGTCCGACATTTACGGGGGGGAGAGGGGTCTAGGATTTTGTGACAGTTCAAACAATGGAAATTTTTTTCTCTACTCTTTTTGTAACAGAGGGGGGGGAGGAGGATCTAAAAATCAGGTTTTTTGATGGACGTCATAAGTGAACGACCCCTGATAAGTTTAAATGAAAATTCTTGGATTTGAGAATCTGTAGTTGATATTTTACAGCTTTGAGTGTCCTTGTAGAGAATTTGTGAGATTTCAGAAAACTAACGACCTGCAATTGAGTAATTTGTTGTCTCTAGAGTACCATTAAGACATTGAATCAGTGATTAAATATGGCAGAGACATAGTATTGCTTTGGCAGTGTCTATACAGTTATTTAAGGGCAAAAAATAAGACTTGCCGCAATTTATCACCCAGGTTAAATTTTTTAAAACGATTGACTAGTGTCTTGAACTGTATAAGTCAATGTTTGTGATCAAGCTATCCAATAATAAAATATTATTTTTCTTGGTTGTAAAAATTTCCACAGAACACCTTCAAGGGCTTATTGCATTCTTCTCTGCAGTAAATACTGATAAATACTTTAGATTTTACAATTTTGTATCATAAGGCGCCGTATGGATTCGATATATAGTCGAGACAGTTCAGATGCTTTGGTCAACAGGTTATAAAATATATCAGATAAAGTCATTGCCAAAGAAAATTATTTTCATGATTTAAAATTTATTGTATGAGATGAAAATTTATTCAATAGGATTATTTATAGATTATTCTAAGGTATTTACAGTTTTCAATTGTTTTCTTTGGTTTTATTGATTCTACTTTATCTTCTTTAAGCTATTGTTCTTGTTATGAGAGATAAACATTATTGAAAGATTGGTAGAAAGGTAGTTGTGGCTAGGGGATTAAATATTTTAGATAGAAATATTTTATTTGGCACTTATGTATGAATTGTGGGACTTCCTGGGGTTTTTGAATTTGTTCATTTTGTTTATTTCTCAATTATTGATATGGAAGTGAAGATTTTACGTAAAAAAATGTCAACAAAAAAATCTGCTTTAAGTTTACGTGCATGTCTTAACATCAATCATACATTAAAGTATATAAAAAACTTCCCATTATTATTTATAATACTTTATTAAAATTTAATATGTGAGTGATTTAGAAGCAATTAAAATGGACAAGAAGAAGTGAAAAATTAAATATAAAGTTTAATGAAATTATAAAAAAAATTATGCTCATGCAAAGTTTTGCTCTCATCTATCAAATTAGAAAGAGTAGATTCAGAAGCGTAGCCAGGGAAAATTCTACCTTCTAGTAGAAACTTTCTATCAGGATTTCTATGATTTGCTAGAAGAGAGGAAGAGGGGTTGGTAACTTAATTTTTAAGCCGCTTCACACAGATTTTGAATGAGGTTCTACAAAATCCCCACACTCTCTTCTCCATTAAGTAATAGTTCTGCAGGATTAAATCGAAATCGATGAAAATCTCAAGTCGACTTGAAGCCCTGTAAAAAATGTCACGAAATTCACAAAAATTTTTTGAATTTATTTAAAAAACAATTCTAGCTACACCACTGCATACAACTTTGTTTTTAAATAAATGCCTGACATTTTAATTCAATTTTGTATCAACATTTTTTATCAATGCTTTAAATAACTCCAGATTCCATTAAATATCCAAATGATGAGACCAATTAAATATATTTTTTTTTCTTATTATTTTCCAATCAAGAATTTATATAACAAAGACAGAAAAAACCGGTCAGCTTCTCATTCAACTCACTTTAAAAGAGAAAAACAAATCCATAATTAATGAGAAATGAAAATTGCCTTTGTGTGAATGAAAGCGAAAGCAAGCTCGCGGAATCTCCAATTTTAGTCCAAAAAATAATAATAATAATTTTTTCTTCTTCACATTCTTGTTGTAGGTCAAGTTCAAAAACCGCATCGCTCACGTGCGTTGTTCCGCATAACGACTTGCTATCGGTACAAAAAAATTTTTTCCTTGTTTGTTGTCATCGCTGATGTTTTGATATAAGAAAAAAAAATATTTTGAAGTTATTCAATTTTCTTTCACTTTACTTACCGTACAAGGCATACCAACATGTATTTTAATTGTGTAAGTACAGCAAATACAAAGGTCCATAATTACGTAATAAATAAAGTAATGAGTAATTATTGAGGTAGTGAGGCAAATAATACTTATCATAACTTAGTTGTGGTATTGAATCTATACATGCTTAACATGTGTTTCTTTATTCGTTTTAGTGTGAATATTAAAAGAGATATGGACAAGCTGAAACGTTGTTGTGTTCAGTTGATGACTACTTGAGGGTGTGTGTGGGTTAAAATTTGATAGATCCGGAAAAAAAACTTTATATAGTTGAAAAAAGTCTACTTGTTAACAGTTTGTCTTAAGCAGGAATTGAACCCTAGTTTTTATGATTTTCGGACAGATACTGATACTACTGAGATATCGGGGGTTCCTAAGAAGCTTGGTAGAATGCCAACTTATTATATTTTCTCTCCGAACTTTGCTGTTACGGCTTTGCTTAGGAACCTCCAGATTTGAATCTCTACCAGCTTTCCCTTACATTCCAAAATGCTCATAAAGCCTCAAAGCGTCAAACCTTTTCTTATTATCATTCATCACACAGTTTTTTTGGTAATAAATCAGCTTTAAAAATGGAATTCGGAAGTGAAAACTTTAAAATCGTGACCACTTTTTAAAGGTTTATATGAGAAAATTGAACTATTTTTAACAAAATTCGAGCATGTGTATAAATTAATGCACTCAAAAAATTTTGTTTTGCTTGTTCAAAGAGTTGTCAACAAAATTCTAATTTTCATATAACACTTGACAAACTGTCTAAATGCTAATAATCCTAATTGTTGATTCTTAAAACTCTGAAAATTCCCAAATTTATCAAACATATGCAACAATAATTCTTCTATTGTCCACAAAAATCCCCAACAAAAAATTAATAAATACAATCAATAAAGATAAAAGCTATACTCGGACAAAATCAATTCCAACAACAACAAATCCAAACGCAATTGGAGGGGGAAACGACTTATTTCTCCTCAACTTAAATATTCATTTTTTTTCTTACTTAACTCTCGCACTCTCTTTCTCACATACGTTTCTACCGTAGTATTCAAACTAGTCAACGTTTTGTAACTGACCAGCTTCATCAACAGGTTTCTCAGTTTAACTTTAATCGTCTCGTTAGTCGAACGCGATCGATTTTTGCTCTGTGCCGTGGAAAAAAAATATTAGAAAGATTTTAATTTTTTGCAATTAAATTTTTTTTATGGAAATTTAAAATTTGTGCTGATCTGAGAGAGAACCTTCAATATTGTAAGTGTTAATGTCAATTGTGTGAACTTCAAAGTGAATGTTAGGTCAAGATTTGTGATTATAGGTGGGCTTTTAGAGGTTTGGGGGGTCTTTATTAAGATTTATTGAGTTTTTTGAATTTAATTCTGAGTTTTTTCATTAAAATTAAATTTTTAAAAAGTTCAAAATTGCCAAAAATCTTCAACAAAAAAATCATAGTTAATTCCTTCACATGCCAAAAGGAAGACTAGTAGCTGCAAACCAAAAAATGTAATTGTGAAATAAAAGTTGCATCGAAAATGAAGCAAGAAATGTGAGAAAGAGAGAAATTTTTTCCCAACATAGAAAAAAGAAATAATGTGTATAAAAAATATAAAAGTAATGCATATGAAGCAATAAATTTATCTAAGCAAAGTGCTCATGAGTGAAGAGTTGCAAAGTATTTTTATGTGTTAAGCGAATGTTGCGAACGAGCATAGTGAACATTGTGAAATAATTTTTGTGTATCATTTTTCACTTATTTACTTCAAGATATACACAAACTTCATCAATTAACAGACGAAGAAAGGTCAAAGAAAAACTTTGTGGACACAATTTTGCAAAATTGTATTTATTTTTTGCTCAAAAAGGAGAAAACAGGTTAGTGATAAAAAAATAGCTGTTTTTCAATGAATTTAATCTATAAGGTCATGCTGCTATGGTGATGTGTGGACGAGATTTTTAGATTTTGGCGTGAAATTTAAAGTTGTTATCTTGAATGAATTGTAGATTGTGATCAAATGATGGGATATACCACCGTCATATGTATATCTTGAATGTTTAGATCCAGTTAACATTTAGACCGAATTAATCTACGACAATAAGAACCAATAAACCAATTTAGGATCCATCATTTTATTAGCGAATATTCACCGTCCAGACAGACAGACAATTGTGCAATTGATGTTCATCAAATTCCACAATTAAATAATTACGGAAAAAAATAGAACAAAGAAAAGACAAAAATTACATGTTGGACTTAAATTGTCCATGACATTCCATTATTACAATTCCCATTGTAACTTCTTTTCCATTTTTCCCATGCAAAACTTGAGAACAAAAACACATGAGGACGATTAAAATTAAAATTTTAAAAGTTTTGAGCTTTTTTCTCTGTTTGTAATGTGAAACTTTTACAGTGACTTATGAATTTTTTAAAGTTTCGATTATTTTTGCGTCATTTAAGCTAGTTTTTGTTCTCATTAAATATGTTAATTACATGTGAATAAGCACCAAGTAGCTTCGATGACTCATAAAAATTTTATTTTAAGATTCATTAAATTTTT